AGTTTTGCCTTTAGTAATTCTCTAATCTTTCCATCAGTCTCATATTTACTTGTCTCTAATCCAACGAGATCTTAAATTGACAAAATCTTGTTTGACAGGCCCATGCATGCACTATGGGATCTTCATTTCTCATCTCAGGTTTCATTGAAATCTGTCAATTGTTGTCCTGTTGGCTGTCCATTTGCATAAAATAATAGTGTCCCATAGGTAAAAGGAACGTGCATTCATAGAGTACTGTTTTCTCACGTGTTAGTTGCTCCCTGAACCTGGAATGTAAATGTGTATGTATGTATGTATGTATGTATGTATGTATGTGTGTATATATATATATATATATATATATATATAATTGGAAATGAAGCGAACACATACCGCCGCTCGCTCACTTCCCGATCATCTCCCTGCAGGGAGTGGTGACTGTCAGTCACCACTCCTCACAGGGATTCCCCTCTCCGATCCTCCAGCGTTGAGAGTAGAAATGGACGGGGGAGGGGGCGGGCACAGCTGGATCTGCCTCTAGATAGGCAGAGCCCGCTGTCAATCAGCCAGCTAGGTGGATCTCGACAGTATTGTTGGGATACATCCCGGCTGCGGCGCTCTCAGTATATAGCTCCAGGGGTGTGGAATTCGTATCGCCCGACGCCCGGGACATGTAGTTCCAGGCGCCGGGCAAGTGCTTTTTTCGCTGTCTTAGCCCTGCTACGGACTAGTAGCAGGGCTGTTTTTTTCCCTAAAATGAGCGCCAAGAGCGGCGCTGCGAGCGGGGGACGTGGAGCGCAGAGAGCGGATGGGCGGGGACAACGTGGAGCGCTGAGAGCGAGGGGGCGAGGACAGAGCGTGAAGCGTTAAGAGCGGGGACAGAGCGTGAAGCGTTGAGAACGGGGGGCGGGGACAGAGCAGGGGCGTGGAGTAATGACAGGCTCTGTCACCTCCCATAGCCTCTGTCCTCCGCGGCCGCTGCTCGTTCCTGTCAGACTCACAGGAGTTTTAGCAACAGTGCTGTGCTAGAACTCCTGTGTTGGAGGTGACAGGTTCAATAAAGAGAACATGTCACCTCCAAATGCTATCACACAGGGCATTGTTAACCCCTGTGTGATAGCAATACAGTTAAGTTTAAAAAAAATAGTTAAAAAAAAGGAAAAAATAATAATTAAAAATGTAACTAAATAAAAATTTAAAAAATAAAAAGGCAATAAAGTAAAAATAATAAAACAAATTAATTTTTTTTACAAAGTAAATAAGGATTGAAAAAATGAAAACCAGCCCCGCTGCCCCCATCTGCATGCGAATAAACACGCAGTGTTTTCAACTGCGATCGTGTGCAACCGCACGGGCAGGGCTGTATTTCAGTAGGAAAACGCGCAATCTGCCTGGCACGACTAGGTGCCATTAGAAAATAATGGCACTGGCAGCACAATCGGCAGTGGTGTGCGATCCGTGACTGCCCGGTCATCATGCACAAAATCGAGCGGATGGCTGGGTGGTCACGGAATCGCACACCACCGCCGATCGTGCTGTCAGTGCCATTATTTTCTAATGGCACCCCAGTCATGCCAAGCAGATTGCGCGTTTACCTGCTGCAATACCGCCCGGGCGATCACACACGATCATAGTTGAAAACACTGCGCGGTGCATGTCGTGAAAATAGGTACAGCTACCTTTTTTTTCAGCGATTGTCACGCAGATGTAACCCCATACATGTGGATGCAACCGCTGTATGCAACCACACACGATCGCACGTCCTGGGAATCCCCAAGTCTGCACCAACCCTAAAGGGTAAATTCACTTTCCCAAGTAATTTGGGAAAATGGAATTACCCGCACAAATCTCCCTCCCACTATACTTACCTTTCAGCAAACGGTCCTTCCCTTCCACCAGTACGGGTGTACTATCTGTACCTGTTCCAATGCCATTCTTTCTCTGACATCAATGACCACCTCAATGATGTCACACATCTTTCCAATAGGGCTGGAATCAGA